GTGGTAACTGGCACTCATTAGCAAAGTGCATCTGTAACCATGAGGTAAATAAATCTCCTATTCTCTTGTTCAAATTTGGGTCACTAACTTTCACAGTCTTAAACGTTATGACTGAGTTGTTTGGGCCATTAGTCAATTAATTTACTTAATTTGTAATTCAATAAAATTCGGTCAATATTAAAAGATTAGACAAACTTGAAGATGTTTCGTACTCAATGATCAATAAATTGTGATTAAAATAATCAAATGTACGTAGTTTAAATTTTCAACATACCTAAAATTCTATGATTGAATTAAATTGTTTTATTCATTAACTAATCAAGCTATTTGGTTAGAGATGGAAATAACTCATTTCTTGAAAGTAAACTATTAAAAACTAAAAGAAAGATCAGTGAATATTCCCAACCATGGTTATGACATGATATCTTAGAGTTAATTCTACGATAAACAGAAACACTCATAATAAAAAAATATCTTATAGAAAGAGTATATTTATATAGTTTAAAATCCTTACAGAGTATCCAAAAATTAATGAACTTTTAAGTTTTTGATGGACTTTTGTTCTCTGAGCTGGATGGTTTCACTCGTGGAGCTCTCATCGTCCTTCTGAACTACATCATCAGCACAAACTTCGGGTAGAGCAAAACTCCATCAAAATCACCCACCTGAGCTACAAATCTTCTCCATCATCTCAAGTTAATAGTTTTTTTTTGAGATAACATACATAATCAGAATCACTACAGCATTAAGTTAATAATCTGTGGTTAAAAATCATAACTGTTGCGAAATTCCATTAGTTTTAAATATATAACATTATCTAATTGATCGATTTTTGTATGATTTTTTTTACGATTCAATGTAGTAAAATAATCATAGATTTATAATTTCAAACTAACTGATAATGAAGTTAAAATTGACTTCGTATGATTTATGGATCATAGTATATGTAAGAAGCAATTTCCTACAGTGGTAACTTTAAGCTATTCTCTAAACTGTCGAATACAGAGTCTTGGTTTCGCCAAAGTCAGAACAAGTAAGCTATTTGGCTTAATAAACTTTATCTGTTTCGAACAGTAACTGGAGAATAGGAAAAGTGAGTCAACAAAACGAATATTGTTTTAGAATGAACATAAATTGTGATTGATGGATAAAACAAAGACATAGTAATACAAGGTCAAAGAAGTTAGTGTGGTGGTTTGCGTTTCACTCATCATTGGTGTGTTCACTTATCGATCTCACTTTACACTCCCCCCGAAACGCTCACCACGTCGATCGTCCTGTGTCGTCGCCGTTGCTATCAGATAACCGGCTTCTTCCAATAGGCATAGGCTACGAACATCCCGAACGATTTCTTCGTTTGCCGTTCTCAACCTTGCTGTACGAACTCGTCCATCAGGGCCGTAGCTTACTTGTTCGACAATGGCTTTAGGCTATAGACTTCTGCTCGTTTCGACGTTGCCCATAGGAATCCCGGCCCTTGTAACCATTCCCTTATCTTAGCTTTATCATTTAGTAATAGTCCACGTGACGCGTGATCAGCGGGATTTAATTTACCTTTCACGTATCTCCATTGGTTCGGCGTGGTCAACTCATGTATAGTTGCAAATCTGTTACTCACAAACTTTTCAAATCGTTCAGTCGTATCTTGTATGCAATGAAGCACAATTAACGAATCCGTCCAATAGATGACCGATGAAATAGGAATATTTAACTGTTCCCTTGCATGCTTTCCAATCTTAGCACACAGAACACAGGCTGTTAACTCCATTCTAGGCATAGTAACAAGTTTTAGGGGAGCAACTTTAGACTTAGCTAGCAGAAATGAGCAATGAATCTGACCAGAAACACTTTCATAACGAATATACGCAACAACACCATACGCAAGCTCAGAAGCATCGACAAAACAATTAATTTGAGCAGATGATGGTTCAAACCACCAAATATTCCACTTCGCTTGACAATCCTTGGGTAACTCTGCGTCCCAATCTAACTTCTGCCGACAGGTATCTTGTAAGATCACTTTGGCTGGCAGCATTATTGGGGCTATAAACCCAACTGGATCAAAGATAGATGCTACGTACGACAAGATGTTCCTTCTGGTTAGGTTTCCATGGAACTCATGAACTTTAAAACATAATTCGTCGGTCCTGACGTCCCACTCTATTCTTAGCGTTCGCTTACTCGTCTCATTAGACTCACAGACGGTAATGTTTCCTCAAATACGGTCTTCCTCTGGAATGAACTCCAACACTTCAATATTATTACTAGTCCATTTGGTTAAGTTAAATCCTCCCAAACTCAGAAGTCCTTTGAGGTGTGAATATATCAGTTTGGCTTCTTCTGTAGTATCCACACTTATTATTAAATCGTCCACATAGAACTGCTCCTTAGCTAATTGCATAACAATTCTGGGAAATTTATCTAGATTATCAGAAATCGTTTTCTGCAAGGCAAACGTGGCACAACATGGCGATGAGGTTGCTCCGAACAGATGGACTTTCATTCTATAGATCTCTGGCTCCTTTTCTAAGTCCCCACCTGGCCAGCACAGATACCTAAGAGCATCTCGATCGTGCGCCGGAACTACTGCTTAATGGAACATGGCTTCAATGTCCGCTGTAAGACCTATCGGTCGTTGTCGAAACCTGGTAAATAAATCTACTAGGTAATTGACTAAATCAGGTCCAGAATAAAGATTTTTGTTTAAAGACGTTCCAGCATACTGAGCTGCACAATCAAAAACTATTCTTAACTTGTTAGGTTTCTTAGGATGAAAGACAGGGTGATGAGGAAGATACCAAATTCGTCCATCAACTTGGTTATCGTTTACCTTTTCGGCATAATCTCGTTCTATATACTGAGTCATAGCGCTCGTATAGTCTTGGAGCAAATTTGTATCCCGAATAAGTCGACCTTTCAAATAGCTAAGTCTACGTTCTGCTAATTTTTTATTATTAGGTAACTTGTGTTTATGCCTCCAACCGCATCCTTTAACATCGCATGACCTCGGTGATCGACAGTTTTTCGCTATATGGTTGGCCTTCAGACATACATTACATAACTTGGGTCTAAGAACGAATTCTTTCCTTTCTCTAACATTCTTGTCTGGAAACTTCTGACACTGATCTAAAGAATGATTACCTGAGCACTCCAAACAGGATGAACTAAGTAAAGGGACATTGTCATCATTAATACTCGCATAAGATATCCTTGCTGCATTGTAATCTGCACTAATTCTACCCTTTAGAACCCCAACATCCCTATTGTCACTATTACTACCGCGATTGACGAGTAATCCATATTGAGTATTAGCCATATCGGCTTGTTCCTTTACAAAGGCAGTAAGGTCGGCGAACAGAGGCTCACGACCTCCTCTGATAATCTTATAAGCTGTCTTTAGCCACTTTTGTTGAACATAAGTCGGTAATTTCAGAACCATAGCTTCAATAGTTCTGGTAGAGTTCAGGTCAGAAACGTAATTCATTTGTTCGAGAGTCAAACAGCATGCTTGCATTTCCCGGGACAATTTTCTTAAACCATCTGGTTGGTTCTTTTTTATATTGGGAAAATTTAGCAAGTTGTCGATGAACGTGCGTGCTATTACGTGCTTTTGACCAAAAGTTTCTTCTAAAAGCTTTAGGGCTTGATGATAGCCTATCTCTGGTTCTAGTATAGCACAATGAAGAATGGCGGCTTTCGCTTCGCCGTCACAATATTGAATTATGTAATTTAGTTTAGCTCTAAATCTAATATTCTCGCATCCGATGCATTCCTCGAAATTTCTAATAAAATTCCAGTAATTTGTCGGTGTACCATCGAATCTTAAGATTTCCCTTTTTGGTAAATACAGATTTTTTAATATTACATCCTCGCTGTTGTTTATTGATCGACCTGAACCCTCACTCTTCTGGCGGCGTAACTTTTCCAGCTCAATTTCCTTTTCTAACTGAGTTATACGTAATCTAGCTAACTGTAATTCTATCATGCTATTAGTTTTGGGTTTGTCCTTTTCAAGTTGGTCCTCATCATAAACTCCCATATGATGTGGTAATAACTGTGGAATCTCATCGGAATCGTAGTATTTATTAGAAGTCATTTTTGTAAGTATATCTACGTTTACTGTTCAAAACTTTGTAGGAAGCAATTTCCTACAGTGGTAACTTTAAGCTATTCTCTAAACTGTCGAATACAGAGTCTTGGTTTCGCCAAAGTCAGAACAAGTAAGCTATTTGGCTTAATAAACTTTATCTGTTTCGAACAGTAACTGGAGAATAGGAAAAGTGAGTCAACAAAACGAATATTGTTTTAGAATGAACATAAATTGTGATTGATGGATAAAACAAAGACATAGTAATACAAGGTCAAAGAAGTTAGTGTGGTGGTTTGCGTTTCACTCATCATTGGTGTGTTCCCTTATCGATTTCACTTTACAGTATATATAAGTAGTATATGATGATAGTCAGACATAGAATGTATTTTGGCAGAAGATCGATAAGGAATGAACAGGAATGAAGTGCAATCGGTATGAAAATACATGAATAATGAAATTAGAGAATATGAATTGATATTTGCAGAAGGAACAGTTAAGATTGAGACGATTGTTATATTGCAAATTAACTGTTTACTGTATGGTTATCAGAATTTACTTAGATAATCTGTAATTTTTGTGTCAAGTACATTCGATTGTCCTCAATCGTGTTCTTGTTCATTACATTTGTTATTGTTGTTGTTAAACTATCATTATTTGATACTCAAATCATTCTCTTTTTAAAGTGTTCTACTTTTAATCAATAATTCCAATAATAAATATATACATATAATAAAGTTTATTTGTATCTTAGGTAAAAATATTAAAAAAAAAGTCAGTTACTAAGGGTATATATATATATATATTTGATTTAATAATACAATATGGAATAAAATGAATTATATTAGTCAATTAATTACATATTATCTTCAATGTTTGTATATATATGAATGTAACATATATAGAAACTCACATCACACTTTTTTTTTCTTTTTTTTCCCCACTTATATTCCATACAGGAAATGAATGATTAATTGGAAAGAAAAATTATTGAATTAAAATTGACAAAAAATTTTTTTTTCATTTTTCTATAATTAATCATTAATTTTATTAATTCATTATTATTTATATACTACTAATAAACATGAACAATAAACATAATTTATGTTCTTATATATGTCACGTACAACTATGCATGCAACAGGTCTTCCAACGAATAGAAAGTTTAACTATAATCTTCTTTTTTTTTAAAATTTTTTATTAAAAAAAATGTTTGTCTTTTTTTTGAGTCCATTAATAGCAAATCGATATTGAGCACATTGAAAATAAATAAATAAATACATGTATAGATAAACCATTTTGTTTATTCAATCGGAATTAAATCTTAATTATAGAAAAAAACTATTTTTTTTTATTTAAAAGGATCAAAACAGAAAACACCTGTGAGTGTGTTTATAAAAATTGTTAAAAAAAAAAATAAAAATAACACAACTATTGACCATTGTTTGTTTATCAAAAAGGTATTGTCAAATATATAGATTAATTAGTTCCACCTAAATTATTTGATGGTAACCTATTCACCTTGAATTATAAAGATTTTAAATTCAATCTTTAATGAGATAGTAATGATTTACTAATGTGAAGTTTTAAACTTGAGGAAAACTATGGTTTATTGTTTCTTGATTTTTGATAGTTCCCACTCACCTACCACTAAGTTGTGTGAATTCATAACAAAAAAACTGTCTACATATTTAAAAGTTAATCTTTACAACTTATTAAACTTACCTAACTTTTTAAGCAAATATGGATAGTGGTTAGCAGTGAAATCCAGGACGCGCGTTTCGTTTTATTTGGGACTCATTAGCTGGATGTACTTGCATCTCAGAGTTGATGTTCACTGTGGTACTCGAATCCAGTACCTTTAGTTTCAAACGCCATCGCGCTACCCACTTAGCTACTGAGTCCTGATAGCCACTTGCTTGTGCAATTAGGTGAAGTTTAAATTCACTTAGTATTGTTTGTTTTTATTTTCCCTTTGATGTTTAGGACTGAAACTGGTCAAGCTATATCGAGGCAATACGCACAGTATGCACATATGCCAATAAGAGACTGACCAGTTGCAGTCCTAAACATCAATGGGTAGATATAAACAAACAATACTAAGTGAATTTCAACTAACTTTTGTTTAGGTTTTTATATTGCCTAAAATTCATAATATTATTTGAACAAGACTTTTTGAGTTATACTTAATTTATAATGTGGCCAAACATTTCATTATTTACTTCAGTATACTAAATTTCAATTAAACTTTTCAAACAGTGAATTTGTTTGTTAAGCGATCAACATTTTCATATCAGTTTTACATTTTCTGAGTGAATTTTACTGGTTACATTTAATTTATCTACTTGATCATTGTTATTTTGACTAGAAGATGCATTTAAAGACAGAAATTCTAATCAATCTCCACAACCCTATATTGATAGTTATCATGTGCTCAATAATGAATAGTTTCCAGAGACAATTTCTACACTTCTAGTGAGAATACATGATCAGTGGAACTAATGTGTATCGGGTGTGAAGCAGTCACTCATCGAACATTATGTGAGATGGTGACTCAATATCGTGAATAAAGTGAATGTAGTTAGACATTAACATTGTTGGATACCGACTTAATGGTTTAAAGTTTAATTATTTACACTGGAAATGGAATGAGTTGTGTTGTATTGCATAGTTCGATTTAATGAGTGATCAGTGTTATGGAGTCCCATAATAATATGAAAAAACGGCGTTCGAGTGGTTTTATGTTTTTAATGATGTTGTGATATTGATCGGTTCATGATTTCAATGAAACTTCTAATCAAAGCATTTTCTGTTGACCTCCGTTTTACTTTATCATGCTATCTTTTCTGAGTGGTAATTACGTATTCAATAAAGTCGTTAGACAATAAATTTAGTTCATCAGTAACGGTGATGTTATTGAAGCAACTTATAATATCGCCATTAATGTATGCTCTATGAAGAAAATTCAGTCCTACCAGACAGATCAGAAATTACTTGAACACTGCCGTCGAATTAGAATAAAAATCGTTGTAAACTTGAAAATACCTTTGAACATATTCATGAAATACTAAGAGTTGTTTATGAATAAAACTCATTGAAAAAAATAGCTCTTTAAGTTAATTTGCCATTCTATTTAGGCTCGTGAAAAATTTAAAGGTGAATCAAACGTAAGATGCCTACTTATATTCTGCATTAAATTAAGTATCAATCATGTGCGAACTTGTTTGCTTACCGATTGCTAATGATTGATGGTGACTTTAGTTTAAGAAAATAGTTTACTTACGTTGTTGTAGTTAAACATTGGTAATCGAAAGTATCATGTAAAACGATATAATAACTTAGGGATATAAATTCAGAAAAATTCTAGTAATATTTCAAATAATGAAAATCGATATTGGACAAGTTCAGTATTAAAATCAATGAAAGCAATAAGATTGATGTACCATAAACTACTTAAAATACCGATTCCATAATTTCAGTTCTCGTATTCGTGAAAAACTACGTAGTTAAAACAAAATCTACATTTATGCGCTTTTCGTTTCGATGATAAACTATCCACCCTATTATTATTCAATGTGTTAAATTCTCCTATTTATGCTCATTGGATAGCCAATATCCTACAATTTCACTGAATTTGTTGCCATTTTTGAAGATCGTAGGAGCAATTATTAAATTTGGCTTAGCACACATAGTAAAACCAAAGCATGGTTCTTGAACTGCACTGGTAACCACTGTGAAGTTAAATAATCGTCAGTCTATATTCTGTCGAAACATCCGTTCAAGATGTCCGAATCCTATTAGACTGTTCAGTCATGTATTGATAATTGTAATCTTTCCAACAAATCAACATCATTTTCGTGTTAGGAATAAATAAAGTAATTCATTCTACATCATTAATAATTAATAAAATGGAAATGGGTCGTGGTCTTAAGATTGTGGCTCACTATTACCCTTAAGTCATTGTGAGACAAGACTAAGGGTAAAGGCGCATATCCCAATACTGTAGTTAATTATCTTCGTATCTTCAATACAGGTGTTGTCACAGCGCGTTGACAGACATCAAAAATAATTTATATCCGCTAACCAGAACGTCTAAGTCGGTCTAAAGTGCATGTGGATGTGTATCCACCGTTACTTCTCAATGGATTTTGACGCCATCAGCCTAAAGCAGAATCTGAGACCTAAGAATAGGTAGAAATTCATTCATGTACACTATAGACAGTAAAGGGGCTAAAACAAAGACCTGAAGTTCTTCATTAATTACTGGTTTCGATGAAAAAAGATTTGGAATTTGTTTGTACTTTCTGACGACTCCCACCAAAAAGTCATTAATCCACATTAAAATAGGTACAGTGATGCATGGATTTTCCAGTTTTGGAAGGAATCTGCTATTGGACACTATAGAATGTGCCAGTAAAGTCATTATAGATTTTTCGTTATTAGACGACTTCATCTATCTTTCTATTACCATAAGGAGATTAGTTTTACATGACAATCCTTTTCTGAAATCACACTTTCCACTTTTTAACAAGTTGATGGTTTCCAGTAAGTTCGTAACAGCCTTCTTGATGATTCATTCCAGCCTTTTAACTAAGACACTAGTAAGGCTAGAGAGTCTTTTATTTGATGAGATCTACCATACTCCTGTCATGTGAACTGGAATGACTGTAGTATCAATTCAGTCAACGGGTAACATTTTTGGGGTCAGTAAAATCCTGAGCGAGCTGAGTAGTAATGTATACTATGCTCTCTCTCTCGAGATTTTAAGGTATAGTTCATCCAGTTCTATTGATTTTTCTAGTTTTAGAGAACTTAGTGCATTTTGTACTTAGCCTCGGTTGAAGTTAATAGTGAGTAACTGACTTAGTGATGTTGCTTCTGGTCCTCATCCATTGTTCAGAGGAGGCTCATGAATGAGGATCGTCCCGAACTCACCAGCCATGGCTGGTGCAGAGTCGTGGATGCGCACTGTTGGGGAACAGTCTCACACCAGGATGAAACGCCTGCCGAGTGCATACAGGTTTTCAATGTTGGTTATGCTAAGCTCGGTTTTTGATTCAAACTGAAAATATAGAACTGTCAGAAAAGAAAACTAATAGAAATTTAGAGAGGAAGATGTTCTTGTCAGCGAAATCATGTGCTTAAACTGTACATTGATATTTTCAGTTATTTGGTAAATATATGTGTCTTCATAGAAGGATAGAAGAGACTTCATCACAAAGCGACCCAAGATTTCAAACAATAAGAAAGTTTGAGTATTGATCAAGAGGTTAGAGAAGAATATGGGGATGAAAATACGTTACGGTCAGAAATCTATGGGATATGAAAAAAATGAAGAAAGTCATACCATACACATAGTTCTCTTTACCAAGAAGAGAGGAAGAAAGATAGAACATTTCCTGGACACAGGATTTGAAGTTGATACCTTCTAATTTTTCAAGGTGATTGGCAAGCAGTCAAGCTCGTCTTCTGAGGTTTCCTGAAGCCGTTTCTATCAGGCCTCAGAAACCTCATTTATGTGTTCGAAAGGAGATGGTTGATAATTTTTCTTACCCTTGGTGATAAATACCCCTTCGTTATATCATAAGAGATTGTTCAGCTCTTCCTTTCATTTAATTATATCATTATATCTTTTTATTTCTACTGTCTTCTAAATTAGTAATCGTATTTTAATTAACTATGCTTCACTCATTTTATCCTTACTTGTTATCAGCGCTTAATTATTACGTAATTACTTTTTCCATACAACCAGAACCCTTGATAAATTTTAACAGAGCAAGGACAACAAGGTTTGCAGAATACAATGAATTCATTCTATTTCACAGTTTCTCATCAGCTTTATAAAACTTTAAATTAATATAAATATACTTATTAAAATGCTACATCAGATATGTTGGTGATACGTTCATTATCTGTAATGATATGGACCACTCTTCTCGGTTACTTATTCACTTCAACATCTCTCATCCCAACATAACTTTTATAATGGAATATGAAAGAGATAAGCAATTTAATTTTTTAGATTTTATTGCAGGACGGAAAAATGATGGAAGTCTAGAGAAAAGTATTATGGGAATGGTGGACTGAACAGTAATTGAACTTTAACAACTTTTTTCTTGTCAGTTTAAAAGATGTCTAGTCAAAACTTTCTTTAGAAAATTAAAGATTCCCATTATGAAAATTAGAACAACACATTTAGGCGACCTTGATAATCGACAGACAAAAACACTCATCTAACACCGTTTTGTAGAGATAATCACTGTAAAATGTTCCCGACCTGATCTATGTATACAGGAGGAAAGTTTGATTAGCCTCTCCCTACCATTGTGACTGGATGTTTGTCTAATAATCTTTGTTAATTTTATTCTTTCTTTCAACCCTGTCCCTAAACTTTTAATTATTTTATTATTCTTTCGTCTTCTGATGTTCTTTTCTTAAACAATTTGGTTGATGCTCACATATTAGTTTGTTTCATCATGTTATTCGATTACCCAATCAATTATTAATTTTGTTACTCTTACATAATCTCTTAATTTCCCAACAAATAACTACATATCGATCTATCCTTATTCATACGCTTGGTATCTCTTCTTTCGATCATTATGATGTTTATTAGAATCAGGGTTTATGGAGATTGTAGCGATTCCAATAGTTAAATTCATGAGTTGATGTAAGCTATACCACCATTAAAAACCTGGAAGCACTGGTCGGCCGTTTCATCTTAGTGCGGGACTCTTCAGTACTGCTCATCCTCGCACCCAGGATCTTCGGTCTCGCATGGGAATGCTTAACCTCTAGATTACTGAGCGGGCATTAAACGGTGTTAATGTTGAACTTCAACCGATCCATAATTATGATGTTGGTTACATTTTAAACATTCGTTTAATCTCGACAAACTAAATCATCCTTAACATTCGTTGATACATATATTTATATAAGTAATTGTAGTTTAAGTTTGTATGCAGCTGATGAGAATCTGTGAAATAGAATGATGAATTCATTTTATTCTCTAAACCTTTCTGTTCATGATCTATAGTTATTTATCTCTAAACATTTTGGACTTTTGTTACTACTTATACTATAGAATATTCTTTTACATAAGGTGTATATTTACTGTAATTTTAAAATTGAAATCTGTTTTTTTTATCTAAATGAACTTTGTTTAATGATTAAATATGGAATTATTTTTCATGAAATCAGTCGTAGGAAATTCAACCTTTGTTCATATTATTTTTAAATTATTAATTATAGTTTATCAATTATGATATGGGTTCTTTCATTGAAGTAATAGTTTAATAAATATATTATACCCTTCTCTATTTAATCACTAGAGTGTATATCTTCGAATCATATTAGATCTACATCATTATGTTAAAATCTTTAACCTTCATATTGATAGTATAACTCAAAATGGAATAATTAGTAAATAAGTTACATTAAATAAACTTATTTATTATTTATTTAAACACTTAAATATTGGTACAAAGGAGCACCAGATATATATGCGCCACACAAATCTCATTTGATTTTTGTGAGGGCTGTGATACTGCTCAGGTGCCCAAACCGAGGCACTTGGTTTTTTTTAGGGGGCCACACCCAGAGCCTTTGACCTAAAGGTCTGATACACAAGATAGTGGAGCATCGTGAGGAGATGCAGTCCCATGGTAGCCAGTGACCAACGATTGATTGGTTTTGTCCTAAACTAAGTTTAAAATCAAAATAAGCATTGTTTAGTTCAGATTCATAGACTCTGGCATACATATGTGTAATCGTAGTGTGTTGCGTGCCCCGGGTTAATAATGAAAATGACGGTAAAAAAGTGTGAACTGGGCTTCTCAGTGTGAATAATCTAAAAAAAACGGTTGGGTGATTTTCACTATCATAAAAATCATATTGATTAGTTGAATTCATTGTGAAAAGAACAACATCTGAAAACACATCGCGAAATCATTGGTGAGAAGTTTACTAAACGTGACTGATGGAGCATAAATTAACGGAAAGAAAATATGTTATGTAACAATCACTAATTTCTACTAGAACTGGTTTGTTATGTAATTTAACCACCATTAATGTAATATAAAATTAAAATAGAAATATAGAAGGGGTTTTGTGGAGATTTAGTATTTATCATAGTTGAAAGCGTGAGTCAATTGAATCAGTTGAAGTTAGACATTAACACCGTTGGATGCCAGCTCAGTGGTCTATCGGTTAAGGGCTTCGGCTCGAGACTGGTAGGTCCTGGGTTCGAATCTCGCTCGCGAGAACGGATTCGTGGATGCGCACTGCTGAGGGGTCTCATAATAGGACGAAACGGCCGTCCACTGTTACCAGATTTTCCATGGTGGTCTAGCTTCAATTGACTCACGCTTTCAACTATGATAAAATAGAATTGTAAACATTTCAATGTAATTATTCTAGCCTGCAGAACTATAAGGATCATGACAGTGATCTGAAATAATTAGAATCATGTTCAAGCTTTTATTGATTACATGGTATACTATTGATTGTATTTTATTCTAGTCTAAGCCGCTTATGTTTAATGCAATGAAAATAAAATCACGTTTCATTTTGATCATACACTAATTGTATTTACTAAATCTTTTAATCATAATTATTTTTTTAATTATTATTTGATATAATTTTACGGGTGAACATTTTATGTGTTAATCTAAAAACACAGTGAAATCAAGCGTTCAAAAGTAGTAATAATACAACAAGTATTAATTTCCATTATACAAACTTTCTATTTCAGCGAATTTCATCAGCTTCAAGATGACTAAACTCAACAGACGATGTTCAAATGAAATGATAGCAAAAAATAATACATAAATGGTAATTATATTTCAGATCTTTTACTAAACCAATGATAATTTAAGTCCTTACTATGAATGATAGAAAAGGATTGTTTAATAAATGTGACTATCTGACACAATTCTGGAGTAAATGTTTAGTAGAGTATTTTATTCACTATGGATTAATATACAAGATATATGTTATTCTTAGTTGACTGGATAATCATCTCTATTCTGAAGTATATATATATATATATATATATATATATATATATATATTAAATGTCACTGATAGATTGTATTCAATACAGTGTAATCTCAACTGGTGTATCATTGAATACTAGAAATCAATGGACAACTAACCTAGTGTTTTCGATGGTTAGGCATTTACCTTGATAGGTTCATAGATGCCTACTACTATTATTATTACTACTACTACTAAGAAATCTAATATTAAAACAAAACACTCATCAAATGCTCTCTAGTTTTCAATGGTCCCTTAACTGAAGCAAGTCTATCATGAATATAACTGATAAATTAAATCGATCTTAACAAAACTCATTTATATATATATAATTTATCAGAAGGGTTTTTTCGTGGAGATTTAGTATTTTCATATTGAAGCTAGACCACCATGAAAAACCTGGAAGCACTAGATGGCCGTTTCGTTCTATTGTCAGACTCCTCAGGTCTGTTGGGAGATATCAACTCACTGAAGACAATTGGTGAATGGTTGCTCAATTTCATGGATTGGTTGAAGTTAGACATTAACACCGTTGAATGTCGGCTCAGTGGTCTATCGTCTAAATACTCTGGTGCGAGACTGGTAGATCTTAGGTTCGAATCTCGTGGGTGCGAGGTCGTGGATGCGCACTGTTGAAGAGTCCCATAACAGGACAAAATGGTCGTCCAGTGCTTCCAAGTTTTTCATGATGGTCTAGCTTCAATTGACTCACTCTTTCAATTATGAAAATATAATTGAATCAATTATATAAAATTTCTATTTCATTAACTTACAATTGTTTACTTGAATCACGTTTCATTTCATTCATTTATCATTGATGAATAAATTACAGAATCATTCATTATTCGATCATATTTAATATTCATTTAATAGAAACAAAGTGTAATCCATTCGTACATTAATTTTAATTAATTATAAGTTAACTTATTATAGTTTTATATACGTCAATGGAAAAAAAACAAAGGAATGTTTATCAATGTTGTAACCATAGATATTAAATTACAAAAATGATTTTACATTGGTTAAATTAATTTTTAAATGAAAAAAAATTTTTAATCATACTACTAAAAATTGTTGAATGTGAAAATTGATTTTCAAAAATTATTATTCTATTTTTAAAAAAAAAGGGATTGAATATTTTTGAATAGAATCTGTTGATCTGATCATCAGATGAATTTAGATTATAACAGTTTAATTTAATGCAAACAAATAAATTAAGACAACAACAACAACAATAACAGAATACTAAAATAAAAACGTTTTTGAATAGTTTAAATAAACTAAATATAATTCATATACATTTCTATGTAAATATAATGTATCATATAGAGGATTATTTGGTTTGTTTATTAAGTTTAATAAGCATTTTAAAGAATAATCTTCAATTCAATTAAGAATCTTCTGATAAGCGTTTTCTAGTGAGTTAGTTATCTACGGGATAGGATCACAAACCCCATGCCCAACCTTCCTCTTTTATTCGGGCTTGGAATCGGCAGTAGTTCCCGAAGGGGCAACATGCGGAGCTCATTTGAGCAATAAACTTTATTTTATTTTCAGAAGGGGTTTTGAGAATATTATAGTAATTTTGTATAGTTGAGATCATGAATCAATTGAAGCTAGACCATAATGGAAAATCTGGAAGCACTGGACGGCCGTTTATTATATTTGTGTTTTTACATCTGACACAGTTGGACTATACTAGACAATTCCTAAGTTGGTTAATATTGAATTTGATTACTTATAAGTTAGAAATGATGCATAGTGGGATTTGTATACGTATCTTTTGTTTTTGATTAGCAGTTCGAGAAGTTTTGAAGTGATTTCTTATTCAGTTAGATCTATACATGGGAGAAATATCAACCAACGGACATTCTTAAGCAATATATACTTTCCTCAACCCATTGAGTAAAATAATGAAATCATAAAAATGTTATTAAGAATGTAATGATTCTAAAAGGTCAAGTAAGTTACTTTATTCTTCCAGTTCTCTGATCAACAAAGTTCAGTTTTTTTCACATTCTACATAAATGTCCTACACTGAATTTTAAAGAGCCGTTATAGTTATTCTCATTGCATTATCGAAATTACATGAAAAACAAATCAATGTCGGAATTCCTAATGTCAGTCTTAAAGAATTACTTTTGAAATGTACAATGAATGTTCATTTTGTCGTTAATAATACATATTATAGACAAATTGATGGTATTGCGATGGGTTCACCTCTAGGTCCTATCCTAGCGGTCTTTTTTCTTGCGAAACTAGAGAATGGACCCCTCAAAGATGTTATCCATAAGCTTGACTTCTATTGTCGGTACGTTGATGACACTTTTATTATCGTGGATCAGGACATTGGCAAAGTCGAACTACTCGAACTCTTTAACAACAAACACCAAGCTATTAAATTCACATGTGAAGAGGAAATAGATAATAAATTAAATTTCTTCGACGTTTTGTTAATAAAAAAAGCGAACGGTTCCATCAGTAGAAGTGCGTTTAGGAAAAGCTCTTCATCTAGCCAGTACACACACTTCTTAAGCTTCGTACCTATCTACTATAAAAGGAACTTAGTCAAATGTCTGGCAAATAGAGCTAGGAAGATTTGCTCAGTCGATTCTATCAACAATGAGTTAGAGGTTATCCATAATATGTTGATTGAGAAGGGTTATCCACAAGGATTCCTGAAGAAACATTTGCATTTAACAAATAAGAAAATAAAAATATCAACAGCTGCGAAGAAACCACTCTTCCTGAAACTACAATTCAACGGCGATTTAGCTGATTATGTACTACGGGATAGACTGACTAAAGCAGTTAAGAGAACGTTTAATGCAGCCGACCTCTTTCTTTCTTACTCGACACGATCTATGGTGATTCCTCAACTAAAGGATATGTTACCTGGTTATGCCACTTCTATGTGTATCTATAAATTCAGCTGCTCCTGTGGAGAAAGCTATATTGGGCGCACTACCAGACAACTGAACCAAAGAGTTAGTGAACACCTCTCTTCGTGGTTAGGAAAAGGTATGGTCAAGTCGATACGGAGCTCGATTCTTTCACACTTGATTGATAGCGGTCATGAAGTTGACAGAAACCAGTCTTTTAAAGTTATTTATCGTATTCCTACTACTTTTCCTTATGGGGTTCGATCTCGTCTCTTACACATAGCAGAAGCTATAGGAATTCGATCCAACAACCCAAGTCTTTGTGTTCATAAGAAATTTGTAACACCCTTATCCCTCCCTTGGCCTTAATAAATAATTTTATTTTCCATACTCTTTCTTCGTTTATTTTTCTTCACCCCCCCCCTATCAATTATTTACTTATTATTTTTCTAATTTTCGCTTCACCGTCCAATTATCTAAACACTTCTTATTACGGAATCTTATGATTTCGATGAATGTTATTTCACTGTCTATATTTTTCTAATCATTGACCTATTTCCCTGTTATGTAACATTGATTCAAGCCTTTTATTATTGTTATCACAACTAGTACAC